ATATATATATATATATATATATATATATATATATATATATATATATATATATATATATATATATATATATATATATATATATATATATATATATATATATATATATATATATATATATATATATATATATATATATATATATATATATATATATATATATATATATATATATATATATATATATAAATGGAATATTGTACCGAATTATCAGTTCAGTAATCGACATGTACCGAATTTTCGTTTGGTTCAATTCGGTTGGTTACCGGCCGGATGAACAACCCTAGGTAAATTTGACTAAGGGTGGACGAGTAATACATAGTTGAGGGTGATGACTGTACTTATGCAAACAAGAAGAGTTTTTTCGTAATATGACCTTACCTCATGGGTTGGCCGTAATTTTTCCTAAAATAATATAAATTATATTATGGAATTACAAAATATATCATAAAATTATATTATATATTTTAAGAAAAAAGTCGAAATTTACAAAACTAAAATCATATTGGAAATCGAAATTTCTAATAATTTTAGATACAATTCTGATTTCGTTCCAAATAAATTCAAAAAAATCGGAAATCGAAACTTTGAAAATCATAATAAAAATACGGCTCCAAAGTTTGATGTTTTGAGATCAAAATTGGCGGAATTTGAAAATTCCGTTATTATGATTTTCAGTCCTAGTTTCCATACAACTTCTTAAATATTTTTTATCCTTTGTTAATTTAAATAAATATATTAAATATAATTCCAGCTGTTTGCGACATCCATTTTATCTCAAATCAACATTCATCCCCTTTTAAAATATGTGAAACAAGTGTAATTAAAAAATAGAATAAATGAAATAGACACATTAGATTAGATAATGGTTGGAACACCAAACAACCCCTAAATTAGAATATACATTTTTTTGGATAATGAGTTTTAGATAAAAGCAATTATAAAGAAAAGAAAAGATGCTATAGAGCTCTAAATAAACAATCACACAATAATTGATCATATTTTTTGGACAACAAATTAAATTCAATTTTTTTCTGGGTAATTGAAGATACGTGTATAGATTCATACACATTGTGAAAATTGGTATGTAAAATTAAAGGTGGAAAACTACTCAGCGAACTTATAATATATAACCGTAAAACTTTATAGGGTAATTGTAAATCGCGACCATCATAAGGTAAGGTCAAATTACGAAAAATAATTTCTCATCTTTGAGTAATTAGTGGAATTTTCTAGATTATATGGAATATTCTCCAATTTGTACCCGTTTGATCCCGTTCGAGATCCACATTTTAAAACAAGATAATCATAAGTTGTACCTTTTGACTTGTAAATATCAGATTGTGATGCATCAGAATTTGCGTTTTTGTAAAAAACAAGTACAAACTAAAGAACATTCAGCAGAATCTAGAAGATTTTGTTGAATTTGACACCATAAAAGTGTACGTATAAGAAAATTTATAGTTGAAAGGGTGATTGTAATTATCCAAACATCAGAGATTTTTGTAATTTGATCTTACCTCAGGGGTAAGGCCGTAATTTTACCCAACTTTATATATATACACATTAATGTATATCAAATATGCATATATTACCATAGAACTTCACCATAGATGTACATACAAATAAACCCAATATAAAAACACCAAGTATCAAGGCTTCTTTAGTACATTACATTGTATCAATCAACTTTCCAAATGAAAAAAAAAAAAAAAAAGATACACAAAAAGGATTTAAAAAAAAAAAAAAGCATTAAATTGGTATAAAATACATATCAGATAATATAGGTTTCAGAGTACTACACTCCCATCATACAAAAGCCAGTTTGGACATAAGATAGTAAAACATCAACTGGCAAAAGGATACATATACATGATATATATGTATTTTCACAAGAGTTAATTTAGAAAGAATAAAAGGCGACAAAAATTTACAAGGACCCTCGAATTCCGTCGGAAACAACCAAAAAAAAAAAACACCGACAAAAAATTTACAAGGACCGACAGAAATTTCCGAGTAAACTATTGCCTCTTTTTGACTTTTTGCAGCAAACATAGGAGAAGTGTAAGCAAAAGCAGAGCAGAGCATTACTTGTTCGGAGATGGAGAACGACCGATGAGTCTGCATTGTTCCGGAAGCAATGAACACATCACTTGCCCATTTACGGGAAATAATTCCCCGTCGATTCCACATCCGTTGTGCGTGTGCTTTCCGGGTTTAATTTTGACCGATTTAACCTGCATTTATTTTCAGTAGGAATTTCGTTTCGTATTCTTCAAACTGAAATTGAATAAAGATTACAAATCCAACCTAATTTTAGTAAATGACATTTTTACCCTTACCAAACTATTTGATTTTAATGTAAATTACACCACCCTGTCTCGTCTCCAAGTTACGTCTCGGGTTTACATGTAAACCCCCTTCAAGTTTGAAATATTACGTATTTGACTTGGTTACAAATTTACTAATATTAATCAAGGTTAAATTGAACTTTCCAACAAGTCAATGGTCAAATGCAATCTAAATCAAACCTCACTTGAGTTTTGCTCAATTTTCCAAACCCGAGGGGTCTAGATGTAATCACACCGAACATTTCAATTGATATATTTTTTCCGGTTGTTCATGTGTGAGTATGTGCAAATAAATGGGAGAAGCACTTTACCTTAATATACTCGACGTACGGCAAGGACAGGTGTCGCCCCATCTGAAGTCGTAAGAAGAATCTCAAAAGCTTGAGCCGCCCACAGCCACGAACAAGCAACAAATCCAAGCTATTATCATCATGCTCCGCCTTAGGAGCCACCACTTGAGAACTCAAACTCTGCACCGTCTTACAAGAATGATTGCACACCAAAACCCCCAAGAATTGCCCTTTTGCCACTACCCAATTCTCTACCACCTCCTCCTTCTCCACACCACCACCACCGCCACCTTCACCGCCCTCCGGTTGGCCCTCCAAATCCCACTTCGGCTCCGAATCCCAACGGGGCTCCGCATCCCAAATGGGCCCCGGATCCGATAAAGTAGATGATATATCCTCCTTATCGTACGCCGTCATCGTATTATTAATATTATTATTATTATTATTTCCCCAAGAACTCCTAGTGGAGGAATCATTAGTCAATCCACTCCAGCCCTTGTCAGTTCTTGATTTGGATCGAGTTCTTGGCCAATTTGGAGTATTAACCGAATGGTGTACAACTTCCGTTTCTGCATTCACATTATTGTTTCTTCCAATCGATAACCGTTTCGATTTCGAATCGATGGCTCGAACGTAATCCGAAGGCTCGGTGCTGCTGCATGTGGTGTCGAAATCCGCACCGGAGTTTCGACTAGGTGTCATTATCGAGTCGATGCTTGACAGGCTGGAGGCTCGAGGGAGGCCTTCTTTGTTTGACCTACGCATGATATCTGTGTAGAGCTCTGACATGTCTATGACTTGTTGATCGGGCGAGAGTTTTCCTTCGTTGGATTCTGTTTTTGCTGGAAGGTATTCGACTTCGTAGTTGTATTTGGGCAGGCAGAGGAATTTTAAAACACCGGCTACAAAGTAGCGTAAGGGGCCAAATCGTGACTGGTATTTCTCGGAGAGTTCGAGTACTGCAGCAAAGTAGAGAAGATGAATAATACTTAAAATAATTTTTTTTCCCGAACATTAGCTTTGAGACAAACTGTTCCTAACAGAAAGGTGCGAATGAATTACCGTCGCTTATAAAGCCAAAATATGTAACTGTCATCCCAAAATGAATAGCTCCGGTGTGGAGCCACTCCACGGCAAAAACATCAGTGGCAGTAAGACCACCCTGAAAAAAAAAAACCCACAAAAATGCAGCAGACATTTTATAAGTTCAAAATTCGAAATTTATGAATTTCAACTTTTTCAAATAACCGAGAAGATATCATTCAAATGGGATGCGTAACGAAGGGGTTTGTGGACCGAGATTCTGTGTGGCAAACTCCTGTCCCATGTATCAGGTGAACCTCGCTCTATATAGAGGAACCATTTATTGAATTAAGAAAAGGCAACTTAAGCATGGAATCATTTGAACGACGCAAAATCTAAGTAGGTTAATAAGAAGAAGACTTAAGACTTAAGACTCAGAACATTCTCTATTGAGTCCTTCAATGTACTTTATAACAAAGCAATAAAATGTGAAGAGGGTTAAAACAGCTACCTTAACAATTGCTATAGCTGCAGATATTGGATCTCTAACACCAAGAACAGTCCAGACCAACGAATTATCCGAACCAGCAGGAATTATTCCAATCGGGATTGAAATTGCTTCTTTTTGGTTCTCTCTGCTAAGTAAACCATTCAAAACCTGCATTTTTTTGGAGATGAGAATTCCACTGATTATTAATGCATGAGTTAAAGATTTATTAGCAGTGTATATAATTCGAACTCCATCATACTTCTGAATGACAATTAATCAATTTTCTCATAAAACCATGTTGCTTGTAATAAAATCACACAGGTTATGCTGATCGTCAAAATCAAATTCGTGACATTTTGAAAGAAGTTAAAAAAAGTAAAAAGAGCATACTGAATGCTGAAAAGAAAACGCATAGATGCTCAGAAGCTACACGTTTTAACAACCCAATAAAGGTGATAAAGTTCTGGAATCTTCTAGAGCAGTCGTAACAACCTAAACCCCACCCCCGAATGTCTTACTAACTGTATGATCCAAGTTAAGAAAAAAATGGAAAAACAAACAGGTTTAATGATTTAGCTTTGCAGTTCGATTAAGGAAACAAGCTTCCATCTCGAGTTCATCGGATAATCTACCACATTGTGTACAATAAATTCAGAACATGAAATGCACAATCCAGAAGCTTGATTCCTTATTCATCACTTCAACTTTGCCATCCGAAATTGTTCAAGCTAGCACTCAATATGCAAAAAACACTAAATTTATATGAAACTTTTGAGCAATGATAAAATATAAGCAACTCCTGCACAGCAAATCAACAAGGATAAAAAAGTGACTCGTATAAACCTCATTTATGATTCCGTCACCTCCTACGCATATAATACCTGCAAGGACAGTAGATGGAGGCGTAAATAGTCAAATGAACAAGCACAATTATATACATTGGTTGCAAAAAAGTATAAAAGATATATATAAATGTACCATCAGGACATGTGCTGAAATCGACAGTGGCTGCAAGTTTCCTAGCATGACCAGCGGATGTTGTTTTGACAACCTCTAACTCAAATCCTGCAAGCTGCAATTCATTGCATGAAGAGAAAAGTAATTATTAGACCCTACCAAAGCAATAAAGATACGTCAGCTAGTCAATTAGGTAATAGCAAAATCTCCCCAGAAGTTTAAAGATAAGTACTTTCATGTCATTATTCGTTAATTTAATATTTAGTCAAAATAAAAGAAACTATGGCCAACCACCATGTAGCCTAACAGTCTATAGAGCAAAAAAAAATGCCTTTCAAAACAAGGAAAAAAAAATGAAAATCTTAATAACTACCTTCGCCATTTTTGGCTTATGCGCATAGAAACTTATAATAATGAGTTTGGGTGTCATCTCTAACATGAATGCAGCTACACATATAGTCCGAATGGACATGTATTTCCCCAATTATGAAAACGCTATAATTTTCTTTGGTCACACTAGAAGTGGAAGCATTACCACAGCCTTTATAGAGAACTACATCACATTTTTATGTGTTTTCATTTTTTTGTATAAATAACGAAATCCAGAGATAGCCCACTTTTATATGTTTTTAATTTCTTTTGCCACGGATCAGAGATAGCACACTTGGAAGTTTTTGTCATCTACACGATCTTTGTTATGCAAAAAATCTCCCGTTGGTCAATTACAAGCATTTTGTCGTTCCAATTGTGCTGCTGTTGGCCATGTAAGAGTATATGTATATTTAAAGGCACCAGAAGAAAACTTACTTTGAATATAGGCTCAACCATTACATGAAATACTTTGCTCGAGCGGCCACGCCCAGATCGGGGGTTTAAAATGACAAGCATTTTGGGTGGGGTTTTACATCTTATATACGACTCGAGAGGAAATTCATTGAAAATCAATTCCGTACTCTGCTTCTTGGAAGCCATAGGGTGAGGCAAGCAATTCACATAGCACTGTTGATCTGCAAACGCATTGACCCACAGAACTGCATCTTCTGATGTTGAAGCGAAGAACCGTAAATCTTTACGACTTCTCCCACTTTTTACAAAAACGCCACCTTTCTTTAACGGATATGCATGCACCGTAAAATGCCTAAGACCAACACAGCAGGACAGCTGCCAAACGAAAAGAACAAGTAGTCATTAGCATAAATTCAAGAAAATGTAACCTATGAATCCAAAGCAATCAAATTTACCGAAACGACATCATCGAGACGCAATATGTTAGAACCCCAAATCAAAGCCTTGCTAGTGAGTTTAGCATCGATCGCATCCAACTTTGCATTCTCCGAGGTTTGTATCTCAGAATTCTTACTCGATTTTCTTTTGTCTAAGGAAAGTTTTCCCGACAAAACTTCGTATCCAAGTAAATCAGACTGTTCATCTCCGACATCGATCCTGTGTTCCTCCCCCTTGGCCTCATTAGGACCATTATTACTATTGATACTTAGATCGCCAGACTTTGCAGCCTTTCCTCTGCTATTACGTTTTTCTGGAAAGACAACTGGAGAAGTCTGTTGTCCTGTTGTTACTTGAGAGCAAAGGCCCAAACGACGAAGAGACTGTTGAGTTGACAACCTCAAAGAACTGTTCTTGGATAGACTCCCACTCTTCTGCATATCGACTTTTAAGCACAAAATGTGGGATAGTGGAAGAGAAGGGGTGACTAACAATCTAAAAGTTATACGATCCAAGGGGCAGATAATCCAGGGTCCAAATAAAAATTCACCATAACAACTAAACCTGCATTATTTGTCAAAAAAAAAAAAACATTTAATCATCATCAAAGTACGTAATGAAGAAAGCAGTCCAAATTGTCAAGTGGTAGTGGTAGTGATAGTGGCTAATACTTGTTATTCTTGTGGAGTTTAATATGTAGCTATTGCAAGGTAGTTCGTTCGATTCTCTTTTATGACTAATTGTGTTGTGTACAAGACTTTATTCACCTAAAAACGATGCGCAGTTTAAGCTAGTTTAAGTATTATAACCACCTTGTTTCAGTATCGAAAATCAAAACCCCTATCCAGTCGCACAATATTATCAACAATCTAAAAGCTCTTAAAAGTAAAGTGCAAACCATAAAATTCTGCACAATCAATTAACAAAAACACAAGAAATTAAATTTATACACAAAAGGCCGTAATCTTGTCGAATAGAGCTGATCATTCCATCACAATAAGGAGGCACACTTTCTGTAATAGCTGACCAGAAGATTAATCATTTTCTTTTTTTCGCCGAATTTTCAATTTTTAGAGCCACAAAAGTAAAAATCTCAATTAAATCACCTAAAAAAATAAATCCTAGCCAAGCAATAAAAGAAACCCCAATTGGGATTTTTAGAAATACAAGCCATAATTAAATACTACGACTGAAATTCAGCCCAAATCCACATCGGGAATAATCCGATCAACACCGAGTAACAAAAACCCAGACACAAAATTACAGAAAACCCTAATAAACCACACCAACATTGGAGTGTAATCGCCGAATCGTGTGACCAGATGTTGAGTAACAGTGTGTGTTGAGGAAGAAAAAATTACTCACCTAATTGTTTTCGACAGAGAGCGGAAAATTGTCCCTCGGAGATGGAGGCGGCGGCGGCGGGCGGCGGAGATCGGTGGTGGGTGGGTGGGGGTGGGTAGGAGAAGCAGAGAAAATGGAACAAATGAGCAGAGAACCCAAGACTGGTTTGTTGTCTTTTTTACAATTTCATTTTTTTTTTCTCTCTTTAATTATCTTTTTTGATTTTTCACTTTTGTCTCTTTTTCTTTTTCTCCTGACTTTTGTTTAACGTAATTAATTATTATAATTAATTAATAGCTTTGGATTTGTTTTCAGATTTTTATTTGCTTTATTATATGTTATTATTTTATTATTATTTGTTGTTTGTGACATTTTTCATTGCTTGAACTTCCATTTTAATATTATTGTATACACGAAATTATTATATAGCATAGTTTCTATTTGACTCAAATAGAAATGTAGAAATTTGATTTTATAACATATTATATGATACGAAATATTTGAATAAAATTGTCATGTAAACAATTGGATATGTAAATTCTTATAAAAAAAGTAAAAAAAAAAAAAAAAAAAATGGATAGCAAATTGTTCTTTTATCCAATATTGAGCTCCAAACTAAGAGGGTGTTTGGCAAGCTTATAAGCTGCTAAAAGATCTTATAACATGTTTAAGAGCTTGTAAGCTTTTCCAAAGTGTTCGGGTTTTTTTTTTTTAAGATTTTAAAAATTCAAAAAATAAGCTCGTGAAGGACAAATAAGATCTTTGTAAAAAGTATTATACCCCACATTTTTATTTAAGATTTTATAATGAGTAAATATTAAATAGTTTATAATATCATTATCCGAGCACTTTAAAAAATTAATTCTAAACATAAGACGTAACAGCTTAACAACACGAAAAATAACTTATCAGACGCAAGAGCTTATCAGCTGTTTCGAATAAACTTAGCCAAACGAGCTCCTAAGTTACCTAATGGTGAAAATCAGATTGAAAAAATTAATTTTTCTAAAGTGTCTATTCCAATTTTGATTCTAAACTGAAAATTGTTTCGAATTTTGGAAAGTTCAAAGTTTTAGAAAGCATGGTACTTCTATATTTGCCATATTTTTTCAAATATTTTCTTTGTAGAAAATATTATTTATTTACTCTAGCCATATAAAATTTATAAAATATTAACAAGCGGTATATCGTTATACCACTTTAGTACTTAATACGTAAAATTACATATTATTTATTTATACAAATTACATTCAAAACATATCATATGAAATTTGTTATATTGTAACAATATTCAGAATTTTCGGCAAACTAAAACGGATTTGGGAATCGAAATTTCATTTTTTGATAATTCAATTTGGATCCCAATCATTTGGATAAAAAATGAATAATATTAAATAAAGTTTTTTATGTAGAATTTGCAAATTCTATCAATTTCCACCCCTAACTAACCAAATAACTTTTTTTACTTTGACTAATAATAGTTATATCAAATTCGGTCACACCATTCAATAGAATCTTATCATATTGGTAACTAAAATTGTATAATTGCTTGTGTTCAACACAATCTTGTTTCACCAAAGAAAATTAGAAATACAATGATGGTCTATTTTTTAAAATCTCCCTACTTTTTGCAAAATTACATCCAACTCCCTCTAGTTTGTAGTTTTCTTGCATCCACCCCTGCAAAGGGCTGTTAACATAAGAAATTTACAAATTATAGGAAACTGGATATAATTATAAAAATATAATGTTTTTTGTTAAATTTTATTTTAGGAAGACGGTTGTAATTTATTTTATTTCGTACATATAAAGGAGAGAATGGGGTCAAAACCAATTAGGAATTTCATAATATAATCTCAATATAGTTATTTATATAAAATGTGATTGAAATTGACACGTTCAATTTCAAGCCAATCATAAGCAAACATTCAATTTTATTCCATTTTTTTTTAATGTAGTTGTTTGATAATGAAAGGCATCTTTTTAGCACATTCTTCCAATATTAATATTTTATTTTTTGCTATTTCTTTTATGAAGGCCAAAAACTTTATGAAGCACTAACTTTGTTGTTGCAATGAAAGGGCCTTTTAGTGCATTATAGAAAAAAAGGTAACCTTAGTATTGAAGTCTTGCTTTTGTGTAACGAGTTAGATTAAAAGAATGTTCGGTATTTCGGGTCTTTTAAATGTCGCGCTCTACCAACTCGAACATTCACACAAGTAACGAAATTGAACTATACATTGTGTGTTGTAAATACTTTTGATATATTATACATATGACCGAACACTCAAAAATTGCAATCAACACTCTCCTTCGAATAACGAGCATTGCAACAAAACTTCTCATATGCGACCGATAGTACAAAACAGTCATTTTTATACCAAAATACAAAAATTACAATTACGACCTCGTAGGATAATTATATTATTACAATTAGTCTCTTGAGGGTAAAATTGGTATTTTATGTATGCATAAAATCAAAAATATCCCGTCAAAATTGGTACTGTAGCGAGACGATGTAAGTCGGTAACAAACTTCAGGGTCATTTTGTATTATAAATATGTGATATATTTTTTTATTTTTTTTTGTAAATTATTCTTCGTAATTTACCACATGTAAATTAGTTTTAGTTAAAAAGCAAAAAATAAATAGTTTTAATTCAGAGATGATCTAGCAGTTGGAGCAAGTGAACTTTTGTCAATCGACCCTAGTTCGAATTCTCTTGCCAAAGGTCATTAGGTGGAGCTTGTCACGCATGATTAGCCTATTGCAATTTATGTCTCTCGTATGACTTGCAAGCTATTATACTAGAGTGTAGGTTTAACCATCGCATAGTGCACCTATACAGGGGATCACTTCTTTGCAAATTTATAATTAATTTTTTTGGGCAAATTACAACCACCCCTGAGGTATGGTCAAATTACGAAAACCCCCCTCTTGTTTGGATAATTACAACCACCCCTCAATTCCTCAAATTTAGTGGATCTTCGAGATTATATGGAATATTATCACTTTTGTACCTGTTTTATCTCATGCGATCTCCACATTTTAAAGCAAGATGATCATAATATGTGTTTTTTGGCTTGTATATATCAGATTGTGGTGCATGAGAAACTACATTTTTACACAAAACGAGTACATACTAGAGCACATTCCACGAAATCTAGATGGTTATGTTGAATTTGCCACCATAAGGGTGGAGGTGTAAGAAAAAACATAATTGAGGAGGGTAGATGTAATTATCCAAACAATGAGGGTTTTTTTTTAAATTGATCATACCTCAGGGCTGATTGTAACTTTTTTCATCTTTTGCTTAGGTTTGGTAGCGTCTACTAACTTTGAGGTCCCCAGCAGCTAATTAGGTGCATAAGTGCAATTTTTATATCTTAATTTATAGATTAATATATAGTGTACATTATTATTCTCTGGATTAATGATGTATCGAACCAACAACTATAGTCGTTCTAAATAAATTTAAATTAGTCTAATCAATGGTCAACTCACACTGCTCCATCTAATTATGGGTAATTAGATGTTACATCTGATTATTTGTACTGGGTGAATGTTAACCGTCGATCTGTATATAATTACACACACTCGTGTTTTTGTATGATTAGTAGATGATTATTTAACCTCGTCTATAGCTAATAATCACCCGGTGTAAATAATATTAATTATATATTGTGCCCAATGAAGTAATTTTATGGAATAAATAAAGCATAAAGGTAATTTTTTTCTTTTTTTTTTCTTTTTTTTTTAACACAAGCATAATGTTATTGATTATATTGTTTCTAAATCCCATGACGATAAAAATAAATGGATACAAACTTTTGCTGTCAAGTAAAAGTTTTTTTTTTTTTTTTTTTATTGATTTTTCCAGTTAAAAAAAAAACAGTTTTTCCACACAAATTATACTCTCAATATAATTTTGTGCAAATTACGGCCAACTCCTTAAGGCAATGTCAAATATGAAAAAAAGAGCACCCATGTTTGGGTAATTACAATCGCCCTTCAACTATGTATTATTTTACACATCTACCCTTACCGTGTCAAATTAAAACACATATAAATGTATACTATATCTTATTTATTTAAAAAAATTGTTTTGTGAAACGGTAATTCGACTTATGTTTTGTTTTAGGATTTTGACACAGTGAATTGTTGTCAGAAGTTTTATTGAATATTATGATGTGGTTTATTTTTATTTATTTTTTTAAACTGAAATTTAGTAGTTATTAGTTTTACTTTTATCCACGTGGATGGTTTTTTTTTTTTTTTTGAAAATTAAGAGATTTTCATAAAATATCCGTTAAGTTTTGAATTTTTAAAACTTATTTGATTTCCGATTTTTTTTCGAAATTCCAAAATTTCCTGACCTTTTGGAATTGAAATAAATTTTTAGATTCCGAAAATTTTGAAATTGGAATTAGAATTGATTTTGCACTTCCGATTTTTTTTGGAAGTTTTCCGAAAAAACTAATTCCGGCCCATCCGACTTTCATCCCTATCAAAAAATTCGCAAATCGGAGTTTAGGAAGTCGAAATGAAAAAAATATTCCAAAACCGGAACTTTTCGGATCGTAACCGGCGGAGATTGGAACTTCCATTCAACTTGCACCCCTATATAAGGAGGAGTTTTTTTCGTAAGAAAGTACATATTTGAAGGAGGTAGTTGTAATTACAAAACGTAAGTGATTTTTTTCGTAATTTAACCTTACATCAGGGGTTGACAGCCAAAAGGCCAAGAGCGAAAAACAAATATATAATAGGGGCTTGCTATTATCAGTGCGACTTTTACCACTCGCAGTGCAAAATAATTCATTTTTTTTTCTTTTCCAAATCTTATCCAAATACCCTCTCAAACACTCTCAACCTTTTATTCTTAAAATTTATCAATTTTAGTATTTTTTCGACCAATATCAGTTAGAGCACAAGTATTATCGACATGGATGACAACGGCTTCGATTTTGAGGTGAAAATACACGTTTTTTGTTCGTTTCCAACGTTTTTAGCTATTTCGTGTCATAACACACGAAATATATGCTTTCATTTCGTGTAATACTATACGAAATATGTCTTAAAATCGTTAGTTGTTTGTTTCGTAGACAATCACACGAAATGGAAGCTTACATTTCGTGGTAAAACCTACGAAATGGAAGCTATTATTTCGTGTGTGTTTACACGAAATGTAGGTTACATTTCGTAGGTTTTTCTACGAAATCCCTTAAATATTGTCTTTTAATTTTAAATATTTATGCAGGAACTAAGAGAACAATCTCACGATCATAGTCACTTCTTTGAACGTGGTATTGTGTGTGATAGTAGAGAAGCGTTAATTATGTGGGCAAAAGACACAGCAATTAGTCATAATCATCGACTGATTAATCATCGTAAATCAGAAAAATATCATGTTTTAACGTGTGCAAGATATCAATCTGGACGACACGGACTATTGAAGAAACGTTCTTGTCCGTTCAGGTTAATTGGCAAAAAATCAACGGAGGATGGATTATGGCGATTGAGTGTGAGTAATGGTAATCATAACCATCTGCCGGGTATTTGAGTAATGGTAACTTATGTTTAAATTTATATTTGTTTTAATTTTGCATTCAAACTTATGTTTTGGAATATTTAAATTTGTAGCGTTGTGTTTTGCATTTTATATGTTTAATCTATGTTTTTGGAATGTATTAAATTTGTAAGATTGTTTGTAAGGTTGTTTAAATATGTACTTTAATTGCTTCAGTTGTACGTAGTTTCTAAATTCAAATAATAAAACTAGTGAATTAAAATACAAAACAACAAACTAGTAAATTAAATAGTTCGTAATAATAATAAACAAAATAAAAATTAGTAAAATAATTAGTTCCTAATTAAAAATAAAAATAAATTATTAAATTAAATAGTTCCTAACAATAATAAAAATACAAAATGCATGTTTAGGGAGTTGATACGGGACTCCACTCGTCCAACCGGACGTTCCTGCAATCATTTATTTAGAAAACATATTAATTAATCAACTATAAAAATATTTTAATAGAAGATACAAAAATTATAATATTAAAATTAAAACAAGTAATTAACTTACTTCTCCCCTCCAAATATATGCCGCTACGTGCGACTTGAAACTCGGTATCAAAGACGGATCCCGCGGGCCACCGGGAAATGGACCATCTAGCACATCCGGATTCACTCGAGTATAAGGTCGACCTCCACGGGCCCGTCCTCGGGCTCCACGACCTCTACGATCTCCACGAGCTAAAACTCAGTCTCGTGAACGGGGGCCACATCTTCCTCCTCTTCCATAGCACGAGAAGACCCAACATCGGGATGTGGAA